TTCAATAGCCTATTAATTTTTTTTTATTAATGTGGGTGTTCGGGTCAACTTGTACGCACCACGACTAATCCCATAAATTTTAAAATTAACGACTATACAAACCTTCAGAGTGACCGAGCAATCAAGTATTCAAACATGATACCACGGATGAGCAATCAAGTATTCAAACATGATACCACGGATTTGTTTTTGAAACTGTATCTCCATGCAATCAAACGATCCAAAAGGATATTAATAATAAATAAATCAATAAAAAAAGCAGAAGTGCATGACACAAGTACAAATAAAAGGACAAACATTCAACTTTGGTAAACTAAATTTGACAGCATGACTCTTTTTATTGCATGATTATAATTAATCTGGGATTATAGGAAAAGGGATCCGTTGTTAAGGGAATCATGCATCTGATTGTTAATCTACAACAGAAAACATTATACTTCAATTTTTTTTTTTTGCTAATTTCTTATTTGGTTTTCTTTTTAAAGCATCATCTCCAAGCAATGGGCGATGAACCAGCTCAAAAAGATATAAATAATAGATGGATAGATAGATAAAATAATAGACAGCACAGTTTGATTTATTGAATGTCAAAACCTGACCCCATTAAAATCACTCCAACTTCTCTACTGCCTTCAATGCTCAAGCCATGACTAGTAATTGCACACATCAAGTATGAATCTTAACAAATCAACCACAACCAAATCAATTACAAAAAAATTAATAATAAAATATCTTTAGCTTTGATCACTTGAAAAACTACAACAGATTTAGAAAAGAAAAGAAAAAAAGGTTTTCCTTACATTGATCTTCTTCACATATTCATCACGAAACTGCGCCATATGTCCATGATAGCGGTCCACAAAAAGAAACTTCCTGAACCCATACTTCCTCAAGTTATGTGAAATACAAACAAGAGAAATGGCAGCAACTAGACACTGAAACACCAAAACCTGAATCTCAAAGCTACGAATTTGGTACTTCTTACAGTCAGTAGTGCAGTAAGAGAAATAGTGAATCATCACAACAGGAAGAGCAATACCAAGAAGCAAAAAAGTGAGCCACGAGAGAGTGAGACTTATAAAGGAGTGCTGACAAAAGCCAAAGACCCTTAAAATGGTTTCTAAATGGTTTAGAGATTTGGATAGATGGGCTTCATCCTCTTGGTCTTCATATATGAGAGGGACTTGTGTTGTTGATAAGTTATCTGTTTGCGAGCAAGGAACTGCCATTTCAAAGAGTGAAAGTGAGGTTTTTTTTGGTGGGCTTTCTGATTATAGACAGAGGAGAGTCAGAAACCTTAAAGGCGCTAAACTAAACTAGTGGATTTCGGGGAGAAAGAGATGGAGACAGTATCTGTCCGTGTCTGAAAGGAGGCCGTGTTCATCTCTATGTTTATTTATTTTCTCTTCACAAAATAACAAGTGAAAAGGCAATCTTGTATCCCACTTCGGTTGCTTTCACGAGGAGGAAACTCTCGTTTCGTTTTTCTTGATTGAAGGCATTGTAGATTCTGAGACCTGGAAAGTATGAAAGAGAGGTAGATAGATATGGCAAACATTTAAAAGCCAATTCCATCATTTCCCTAAGTTTTGTGTGTTGTGACGAAGACAGCTTGAAAAGAAGAAAAGGAAAGGGTTTTATTGGGAAGTGGCCCCAAGCTTAAACCAAACGGTCAGGGATCTGTACAATTTTATTTTTTTTTAAAAAAAAAAACTGTGAAAGATTGTCATTTTTTATATTTTAAAAGTTTTTTTTAAAATTAAATTTTATTATTTTAAATATTTTTTAATTTTTTATACTATTTAGATGTGTGGATGTTAAAAATAATTTTTTAAAAATAAAAAATTATTTTAATATATTTTTAAGTAAAATATATTTTAAAAAATAATTATTATTATATTTTTAAATATTTTTATGAAAATTATGGTTAAATTTTTTTATTTATTTATGTATTTTTTTTTATTCTTTAAATTTAAAAGTACATAAACTAAAGAATGTTAAATTGTTTTTAAAGACATCTGCATTAAATTTAGTATTTGGTCTGCATTTGTAGGCCGAAGTTTGCTCTGACAGTTAGGTTAGCGCATCTTTTTAAGCAAACTTTCTTTCCTGTCTTTGTTGAAGAGGAAAGGAGAAGAGAAGGACAGGTAACTCCGACTCTCCGACGTCGTCCTGACGCTGCTGGACTCGCTAGTGGGCTTATTGTTTTGGGCATAGTTGCATGGTCTTATTAAAAGATAGAAAGCGATTTCGATTGAATCGAAAGCAAAGTTATTATCATGACTTTATTTGAGGTCCAGATCATGGCTGGCTGAGGTAGATTAACTTTTTGTTGTTTTAGTGCTTTTTAAAAAGTTGAATAACGTTTTTTTGAAGAAATATGTTTTTTTCAAAAAAATCAAATTAAATATTAAGTGACAAGCTTATCCACCGGATTAACTTTAAATTAATTTTTTGAGCACAATAGGCGAGCTACTATTTGATTTGGCGATCATAGGTAAAAAATAAAATTATAATTAATAAAAACCTCGATAATCATTTTATTATATTAGCTCGAGTTAATAATTATTTTCTTAATTGTTAGCTTGTTAGATTTGTTCAGAGCAAATGATTAAATAAATTTTATTAGTTTTTTTATTTAATCTAATTATAAATTTTTATGTGTGTATAATGTGACAAGTCAGGTTTAGATTATCCAATTATAAAGATTCTGAATTATAAATGCCTTTAAAATAAATCAAATATCATTACACCATACGGGTGGAAACAAATTACAATCAATTTATATGATTATTCTTCTCTATTTTTCATTGCAATTATGTAATAACTTTTGACTTTTAATTTGTAAAAACAAAATTATTTCAATTCAAAATTCAAAAGTTTAAAATGTTAGAAATAATTTTATATTAATTTTTAATATTTCATTGAGTTAAAAATCTTTCTAATTTAAAATTTATGGATTTAACATTATCTTAAATTTAATTAAAGAAAACAGGGAGGATAAGGTTTGAATTTCAGTTTAAATTAATCTTTTTTTAAACTACTATTTTGTTCTGAATTTTTAATTTAATTAGACAAAATAAAGATGGTTGCATAGTGTAATTGGAATTACTTAGTATAGCTTGATTTATTTATTTATTTTTATTTCTTTAGAGAGAACAATAACGGTTTTACTATAGCTTGATTTTTAATTTAATTAGAGAAAACAATAATGGTTGATTGTAAAATCACGAGCTTTATCGATTTTGACCAAATTAATGTGGAACTCAACTTTGACCGTAAATGATGGAATTGGCCTTGGTATATTTTGACAGACTTTGATGAAGTAAATTCAACTTTGACTGTAAAATGATGGTTTATTGGTTTTAACCAATTTTATTATAGAATTAGATTTTTGACATTATAGCTCGGTTTTTTTCTCTGAATGTTTTTTAGCTAGAAAAATAATTTTTGATCTATAAACATTGTTTTCAATTTCTTTTTTGGTCATGGAGACCAAAACAGGTTATCACAACTTGTATTAAATTCACACAAATCCTAATATTATTTATTATAAAAAAATATTTTTATTTTTTTAAAACATTTTTTTAATTTCATCTATTTAGTTTATTAGAGATTAAACTTTATTATTTATTAAGATTTATTTTCTATATAATTATTTAAGTCATATAACTTGTGTCGCAGATTTAATGGAATAACCCTGTTAACTAGAATTCTTTTTATTTTTAATTGATAATATTTTTAATTTTATTTTTTAATATTAAATTTATTAGAAATTAGATTTTATATTTTTTTTTAATTTTTTTTTATGAAGTTATCTCGATTTCATAAGTCATGTTATGAATTTTACAGGTTAACTCAAATAGACTTTGATTGTTTTATTATATTTTTTTAGATTGATTTTTTTTTTCAGTTTCATCATTCAACAAGAAGTTCATTGAGAATTGAACTTCATGATTTATTTTAATTTTCTTTCTACAAGATTATCTTAGTTTCATAGTTTATGTTGTAGGTTTGACCGGTAAACTCAAGTTAATTTGAGTTATTTTTTTGTGTATTTTAATTGATTATTTTTTCAATTTCACCGTTTAACATTATATTAATTAAAAATTAAGTTTTATATATTTTTTGATTTAATTTTTATAAGATATTATGATTTAATATTTCAAATTTTAAATTTCATATGTTAACTTGAATTGATTTATAGTTTATTTATTTATTTATTATTTTTAGATTTAATAAGTTATAAATTTAATAGATTAACATACCCAATCTTTGATTTTATTTTTATTTTTTAACTAAAAGTTAACAACATTTAAATACATCTATTTTTATGTTGAAAAGTTTGTGGATCCAACCATAGCAGGCAACGATATTGTGAAACTACTAAATTTACTTGGTTTTGACACAAGTACAATAGTTAAACAGAAGAAGAATTAGGGATTAGTTATAAAAGGAATGCCCCTGGTGAGGTTCGAACTCACGACTTCTTGCTTAAAAGGCAAATGCACTACCACTGTGCTACAGAAGCGTTTCTATCATGGCTCTCTAGAAAACATTATTTATAACATTTTTAATCACAACCAATTCACTTCGCTAAACAAGATCGCTTGGTGGGTGGGTGCATATCTTAATTCTTTCTTTTTGTTTTTCAAGTCCCGCCATTTATTTTTCCCCTGCTAATTGAGCACAAGGCAGACACCAAACAGTTAATGGTGGCAATGTCACTGCTATTCATTAGTGGAATCACCAGCAAAACCTGGATTTACTTTCTCTGATATATATATCCCAACTGTTCTGTTGAAAGCTAAAATCTTGTAAGATGGAACAAAACAAAAGTTTTCCCGTTAAATCATGTTAACGTATACTTCAATATTCGATTGTTAGAAATTATGGAAATGTATCGGGAAGACAACTACAGAACAATCAGGAATCAGATTCAAAAAATTTCCAGGTAGGCACAGAATCATATGCAGATTTGAATAAAATGAAATTGTAATTTAAACCACTCGTCCTTCAAGCATGCTCACTACCTCCGACATTGTAGACCTAAGTGTTGAGGATACATCTGTACACAAGAGAACTACTTTGACCATAATTTCTGCTTCTTTTATGGTAACTTCACAATTTAACATCTCATCAACAAGCTCCATAAAAGTCCCACTTTGCTGCAAATGGCAGGCCAGCAATCCACGTAATTTAAAACTTCCACATTGAGTCTTGCAAACTACAACATAAGTGCAATGTATTAAGCACAGGAAGAAGATTAACCAATCTAAGAGACAAACGCAATTGCTGTTGCTTGGCATATGGTTATTGTTGTTCTTCCCACTAACAATTTCCAAAGCCACAACCCCAAAACTGTAAACATCTGCTTTGTAGGTCAAGTAACCCCACAGTGCATATTCTGGTGCCATATATCCTCTGCATATCAAGATAAAGAATTCTTGCAATTTAACATTGAAAAGTTACACGATACCAAAAATCTCAGGTTTTAATTTAGTGACTAACATGGTTTCAGCAACTCGGGTGCTGATGTGGCTCTTCTCTTCTTCATGAAGCTTAGCCAATCCAAAATCGGATATTTTAGGATTCAGAACCCCATCAAGTAGCACATTTGTAGCTTCAATGTCTCTGTGAACGATCTTAAATCTTGATTCTTCATGGAGAAAAGCTAGACCTCCAGCTATCCCAATACAGATCTTAAGCCTTGTAGGCCAGTCGTGAAAACGGAAGGTGAGGGAAAGCTTTGAAGCGACCACATTTTAGCCATAAAAAACAATCTTGGCATCAATGCATTCATCTTGTAGAGACGATTTTGATGTCTGTTGTATTAGAGGATGAATTATCAACACACCACGTCGCCACAGAGAAGGATGGCATGGTTACTTGAATTCTATTACTTTGTTTTTTATTCTCTAATTACTTCTGTGAAGCACCGTATATACTAGGTAAAATTGATATTACATGGGATAAGTTAGTTAGAATATTCTTTACCTGTTGTATATATTTAAACGAACTGCATCATTCACATATATGATGAATTTCTCTAGACAATTCTATTTTCCTCTATTTCACATTCGTTTGTTACATGGTATCAGAGTTGCCGATCAATGGCCAACACTCATAAAAAAACTAATTCTCAGTCTTTCAATAATACCAACCCCAAAAACAAATACCTTAATTTCTCTGACCTTTCAATCCATTCCAAATTGAGAATGGTGATAACCTAGCTACTGCTCTTGTTTCTGAACTCTTAACTGCTGATAATTATGTCAGTTGATCTCGTGCGATTTCTCGAACTCTTCACACGAAGAACAAACTTGCATTTGTTAATGGTACATTGCCTAAACCTACTGATGTCTCAAATCCTTTTTTTGAAGCTTGAGAGAGATGCAATGACTTGGTTGTTTCATGACTACAAAATTCTATAAGTTTTTCTGTCAAATCTAATCTTGCTTTAGTTGAGGATTCAAGAGTATCGTGGCTGGAACTCAAAAATCGTTTTACCCACCAAAATAGCTCTCGAATTTTCCAACTGAAACATGATTTAACCAGCTTATCTCAAAACCAAAACAATATCAGTACTTATTTTGGTCACCTCAAAACATTGTGGGATGAACTTGCTATCTATGACCCTCTTCCTGATTGTATGTGTGGGAAATTAAAAATTCTTCATGATCGTTATGACCGTGATTGTGTCATTCAATTTCTTATGGGTTTATCTGATGCATACTCAAACACCAAAGATCAGATAATGCTACTTGATCCTCTTCCATCCCCTAACCATGTGTTCATCATGATCCAACAACAAGAACGACAATATTTAATGATTCCTTCTATCAAATCCCCTGAACTTATGGCAATGATGGCGAAACCAATTTTTAACTCTAGCAAAAATTTCTCCAGATCTGCTTCCCAGAAAACTAATCGTCCATATTGTTCTTACTGCAAGCTTCCTGGTCATTCTCTTGAAAACTGTTTTAAAATTGGAAATGCTGATCCACCATAATGCACTCATTGTAATATGACTGGTCACGTTGCGGAAAGATGCTATAAACTGCATGGCTACCCACCTTGTCATAAACTTCATGGAAAAAATAAAGGTATTGCAGTAACTGTTACTCAATCCCGAGTACTCTCAGATGATGATCATGAGGAGGATTTAATTGAATCAATGATGCTTACCAGGAGTTAATACCAACAATTACTTTCTCTTTTGCATTCCAAGGAGACTAGTTCAGTCATGGCTTCATTATCTGTTACACAACCATCTACTTCCTCTCTCATTCCTTATGTTAATAACTCTCATGTTTCTGGTATGGCTACTTGCTTCAGCACAAGCACACACTCATCTTCTCTCACACACATCTCACTTTGGATTATTGACACTGGTGCCACAGATCATATGATCTGCTGTACCTCCCTTTTTATATCTATCACAACCACTGTTTCCTATCAAGTTAAACTACCAAATGGCTAAGATGTTCTTGTTACCCACGTTGGTGTCATAAGATTATCTAAACATCTTATATTAAATCATGTATTGTGTGTACCTTCCTTTAACTTCAACTTGCTTTCTGCCAAGAAACTTACTTAACATCATTCTTGTTGTCTCATATTTTTATCCAATGCTTGTTTTTTTAGGACTTAGCATCATGGACAACGATTGGGATGGGTGAAGTTAGGACAGGTCTATATCACCTTCTTAGGTCTCAAGTGTCACCCTCTACTTTGGTTGATGCAATGCCTCATCTTCATTTCCTTCTGCTTTCACTGCTCACACTATTTCATTGTGTGATTTATGACATTATCATTGAGGACACATTTCTTTTTCTAGATTAGCTTTAATAACTGATCTCATTATCACACATAATCAAACATTTCATAATCCAATACCATCTTCCATTTGTCCTTTGGCTAAGCAACAACGTGTTTCTTTTTCAACTTCTACACATTTTGCTTTACATAAATTTGATCTAGTCCACTGTGATATATAGGGTCTTAACTCAATTATTGCAATGGATGGATCATGTTTTTTTTTTTTTATAATTGTTGATGACCACACTTGGATAACATGGGTTTATATGCTTAGAAATAAATCTGATACCAGGTCTTGTTTTATGACTTTCAAATTAAGTTTATGAAATTGAAAATAAATAATAATGAGGAAAAAGTTAAAAATAAAATAACTAACAATTAAAAGAATAATAATTAAATTTATAATAAAAACTAAAAGAAATTGGGATGAAATTAAAAAAAACTACAAAAGATAAAAACCAAAAGAATAAACCTCTGCCACGCGCGCCACCAATAGAAAGCTCTCATGCATTAATTTAAATGTTACTGTGAAAAGTGACGTGTAACATTAGTAAAAGCCCGCGCACGTTACCCAAAAAATATAGGCTCCACTCACGCTTGTTCCTTTTAAATATATTTTATATATATTAAAAAATTGAATCACTCTTAACTCTAATCAACAACTATAAAAAAGCCAAAGGGAAACAAAGAAAACACTCCTAGACCCAAGTAAAGGAAAAACAACAATGCAAGTGTATTTAAATAATCACATTTTTCAAATAAAAAATAAATAAATAAAACTAAAGACATCCATTGTCCTCATGTTATGTTTTAAGTTTTTAAATGGTAGATTAGTAATTTAACTATTCAATAAAACAATAAAGAAACTACTTTACCCCTAAATAGAGCGATAATGTCAATTCAATCATGTAAAAAAACTAATTTAGACTGAGTCTTGCTTTATAGTGAAAGGCTGATGAGGTTTAATTTTTTTTTTCTTCTTAATTATGACTTACTTTTCTAATCATTATATGTTTTTCCTTAAAAAACAATGCTTATAATATAAAATATATTCATGTAAAATACATGAATATATTGGAAGTTTTTATGAATATTTATTTTAATTATTTTTAATTTTTATTCAATAAACTATGTTGCCAATAAAAAAATATTGTCAGAAAAAAAAATATTATTAGAAAAAAAAGTGTTGATAAATAAAAATATATTTTTTCTTTGAAATTTAAATATTGTCTCTTTTTTTTTAATATGTATTATAGTTATCATATAATTAAATTTTTTTAAAAAAAAACTTGGAGAGCGCTCCTCAGCATCCCGCGATCATAATCAGTTCTAACCAAGATATCACGTATCTAAGCAGTATCCATGTCTGAATTGAAGATATTATTACCCCAAATGAAAAACAGTATACCATATGTTCATGAACAATGAGCATCAAAATTATTATCAGACGTCTGAATTAACAGCAAAGTGTCTGTCAAAAAATACCCTGGGGGTGGAACTGTTATTTTACAAGCATGGAAAACCTCATGCGGCCTGAGGTGGGTTCGGACAACATGATATTCAACAAAGAGATCAGCAGCCTCCGCCAGAAATCTCCTCAGGTCAAACCTGGATCTATGACTAGCTGATGATGATTGATCCTAGCTTTGGATAGATGATTAGAATTTTGACCTGTATTTCCCTGCTAGACATTTTGGCCATCATGCAATTATTGTTTTCAATAGATGGATCATAATTTAGACGAAGCACCAGAGAGAGCATGATTGACCAGCTCCCGCCTTAGGATCTTTCCTGCGGGAGATTTTGGAATGGCACTGATGAAGGCCACTCGTCTTATCTTCTTGTATGGTGCAACCTGCAAGAAGAAATGATTAGTTTTGAGCATGACATAGTACCATCACAGGGAATCATCCTTAAATGAGAGAGCATACGTTTGGCTGTAATTGTTGGCTATCTGGCTGCTCATTTTTGGGAAAACAGTCACTCGATGGTTATAATTTACTTCTATCAGGTAACCCGACTAGAAGTGGGGAAGTGATCAGACAACTGAAAAATAAACTGAGAAGGACATCCCACGCCCCAGGGAGGAGAAAATTAAAACACGCCATCTCAAGTCAAATTCAGAATTCTGCAAGTTGTTCTGTAGCCGACCAAGGAAATCAACCACTAGGTCTGAATTCCAGATGCAGAATGTCCTATTCCAAAGGATCTCCATATTTTAATGGGGATATTGTTCTTTCACATGGCAAATACAAAAATAAGTGATCCCACAAGGCATATTATAAGAGACACCACCTAACCAATTTGTCATTTTATGCAACAACAGGGCAAGTTTAATATGGTAGTGATACATAGATGCGTGCACGTATCTACATCTTAAATTAAGAGGTGCCAAATCATCATGGTTTATCCAGAAGCTTACCTGTTTTGCAATGGAATCCATAATTTGAGCCTCAGTAATATTGCTTCCTGGTTTCCTCACCACATAGGCCATAGGTATTTGCCCTGCCTCTTCATCAGGGTACCTGCTCCGAAATAACAAAAACCAAATGATAAGTGGATCAGGATCTTCAGTAGAATCAAATATAAATAAATAAATAAGTAGATTCTGAAAGCAAGAAGAAATTCACTGGAAGAATCTGATACTAAATACATTTCCATAAACATTTACCTTTAATAATAACTAGATTCAATACATCTGGTAAGTAAAAATGATCACTTTATACATTTTAAAGGTATCTGTTAAAAGAAAAAAAAAGGAATTTCCCCAAGAATAAAGCACCAGAAGAGGAAATTCACAATTTTCATGAATTGAGATATCTTATCTAATCCATGCAGCAAGATATCAACAAGTCTTTCTGATTGCCATCCTCAACGGAAGAATCTCTTTAGCAATAAATAAGCTAAGATAAACTTACAAAACCAGCAAAAAGAACTTGAAGCAAGAACAAAAGTACTGTATTGCGAAAAATATACACACATAGGATCAAATTTTAAGAAACAGAAAAATAGCATGTGATCCATCATGTTTCAGGAATGAGCTAATGAATCAAAGAGAACTTCAGACTCATGTCTGTGTGAAATAGCCAGCTGTTTGCTATTAGACATTGATGTGGAAATCAATGAAACAAGTATACCAGCATGACATTGCGGCATGAGTAGCAGATGAAACAGCTAGACAACTTACGGAATCACAGCAGCATCAGCAATTTCAGGATTAGACTGAAGTAACTTTTCCAACTCAGCAGGGGGCACCTGAAAATAATCAATCATATGGTGAGATAACAGCATTCCTGATAGTTCAAATTAGATTTACAATCCTAATGTCCATTGCAGTCAAGACTATGCAAATATAATCCAATCACCTGAAATGCCTTGTATTTAATCAACTCCTTTAGCCTATCAACAATGTAAAGGAACCCGTCCGAGTCAAAATAACAAAGATCCCCAGTCTTTAACCAACCTTCTGGATGTAAGGTTTCCGCAGTTGCCTTCTCATCTCCTACATAACCTGCACTAACACCATTGCTCTGCTCGTTAAAGAACAAGCTTATTAGACATGGTAATTTATTTGTCTGTCTTTCAATTAACCAGCATATTCAGTGAATACCATGGTGTCTATGAACTTCTATCTGTCCCAGATTAGCATCTAAAAAAGGGGTAAAACATTTGAACTCTATCCTACACATAAATGTTTGTCAGGTGAGATGCATTTTTCTGTGTCAGGTGGCCTAAAAAAGAGAGTAACAAGGACCTGTTGAAATGCATTAAAAATTAACAGCCAATATGTCCATGATCTCTACCTTTCATGACAGTTGGCCCTCGCAACCAAAGCTCCCCTCTCTGGCCAGGACCCAAGGCCTCTCCAGTTTCAGGATCAACAATTTTAGCTTCCATATTTTCAGACAGGCGGCCAACAGAAGCATGCTGGCTAGTCTCTTCAGGTCCTAGAGTCCTTGTTGCCCCTCCTCCAGTCTCAGTCAACCCATATCCCTAAAATTCCAAATACAATGCACAATCCTTATTCAACAACATTTTCAAAATGCATAATCTTCAAACACTCACACGATCATTTTATTAAACAACCTAGTCAAAACGCAATAACTTTTCTAAAAAACACTACATTCAACGTCAGCAACTGCTCCACCTGGCTTACCATTCAAACTAGCCTCAAACGGGGTCCATAGATGCATGAATTGTAAATGCTGACCAGTACTATTCAACTTCAATGATTCAATAAACTAA